GACTGTTCTCCTGGAGCTCTGGGGGCCCCTGAACCGGAGCGGCTTCGGTCATTCCCATGCAACTCACACAGACATGACTCCCAACGTGGTCGCGCTGCAAGCTAAAACGCCCCCCCCCCCCCCCCCCCCCGCCCACGCGCGCGCCCTGTGGCGCGCGACGCGAGAAGATAAGGAAGAGCAGAAACGAAACAAAAAACAACAGGATCCACCCTCATCGACCCCCCCTTGCCCGCAATGACACGACGAGGGATTGATGATGATACAGCAACAGAACTCACGGATGCGAACTATCGTTCGTCATCGTCCTCCCGCAACTGGACATGGCGCTCGCCAGTGTTTCCAGCGCGCGCCGCCCTTGCGGCCCTGGGCTCGCCCGCGCGCGCAGGGCACCCGGGCCAGCGACCTGTTTCGGGGCAGGTCTTGCATTTCGAACGTATCTCCCGGAGCCGCTTCTTGCGACCTCCCATGGAAGGCCCTCCCTTGCCGCCTCCCCTGAGCGACCAGGGCGCGCAGTGGCGACCCTTGCCTCCGCCCGCCCCTTTACCTATACGACCACCCTGCGGGCGATAAGGAGGTGAGGGGGGAGGGGGAGACAACGTCTCACTCAATCGATCTCACATGCGGTCTCACATTCGGTCTCACATTCGGTCTCACATTCGGTCTCACATTCGGTCTCACGATCGATCTCACTATCGATCTCACAACCGATCTCACTATCGATCTCACAATCGATATCACATTCGGTCTCACTACCGATATCACAATCGATCTCGCAAGCGACGTCATCAGCACCATCAACATCAACACCATCAACAACATCATCATCATCGCCATCATCAACATCAACATCATTACCATCATCATCACCACCATCATCATCATAATCATCATCATCATCAACATCATGATCGGGACACCGACGGGACACCGACGGGACACCGGCGGAACACCGGCGGGACACCGCGCGCCACCGGCCGCCCGGTGGAGAATCATTTGGTCCGGCCGCGCCTCAGCCACAGAGGACACCACCGGGACACCGGCGGAGCACCGCGCGCCACCGGCCGCCCCGTGGGGAATCATTTGGTCCGGCCGCGCCTCAGCCACAGGAGACTTTCCTCTCGCCCGCCCACGCAGCTTCGCCTCGCCCGCGCGCACGGCACGCACGAACGCGAAACCGAAATCGATTTCCCGGTAGGGGGGCTCTCCGTTCCACTTCGATCTCACCCCCTCACCTCCGACCCTTGCCCCTCCCTTTGGCGCCAAGGTTGGCGACCAAGTCCTCTTGGATCGCGTCAGAGGCTTCGTCCTCCGCGCATCCGGTCTTGACCATCTCGTCGACCACCTCGACGTCGAACTCGCTGCTTTCCTGGACAGGAGCCCAATGAGCATGCAATTCATCGTCGACGCAGGCGCGTTCGTCGGCGCAGTCGCCCCAGGCCGCGTCGCCCAAGCCGTGCTCTGGCGCATGGCTGGGCGCGCAGTACCCGCGGGGACTCAGCTCCTCAGAGTAATGCTCCTCCTGTAGAAGCTCACCTGGAGAAGCTCACCTTGCCCTCGCTCCTGCTCCTGTTCTGGTAGCTGGGTCTGGGCTGCGTCCACGTCCAGGAGCTGGAGCCTTTACCAGACTCACCCCTGCGTTTGTAGCGGATGTGTCTGCGGCCGCGCTGGAGGATCAAGACGTCCTTGATATTGTCGAAGGTTGTCACAATTCCTGTGGACGTCAGCACCATCAGATTCTCCGAAGGCGAGAGGCCTGCATGGTCCAAGAGAAGAAAGCCAAGCGCATCGTCGCCCATCAAGATCTTCGGATCTAACTTGGAGACAGTTTTCCACCAGCACTTCCTCCGGGAGCTGTACAATACCATCGACCCATCGCGCTGCCGAGGCAGCGGTCCATATGGTCTCTGCCCCACCTGGAACAGGATCTTCGCTTCCTGCGCCTCTATAGGGACGAGCGAAGTACGGATCGCCAGCACCAGCTGATAGATCCCTATCGGAGTCAGAAGCACGTCCTTACCGATATCCATGGCAATATCGAATGCGTCACCTCTGAGGCCGTCTACAACCTTGCTGACAGCTGCGGGGATCACGCGTTGCTGTGGTGCACCGGTCTCTTGATCCACTGGAGCCCAGGCGGCACTCATGCGCATCTCTGTGCGGAATTCCTTCTCGCGAAAGTTGTTCACCGTGCCGTCGTAGATGTAGGGGCCACTCTTCGTCAGCGTGTTGGCGCTCGGCCGATAGCGAAAATCAGACAGTGCCATGGCGCAACGCTCAATCCCCTAGCGAGGGAAACTGCCAGTACAGAAAGTGGAGAAAGGTAGTGCGACACTCTCTGGCGAGACGTGCGCGCAGTGGTACGATACGGGGATCGTGTGGTAGTTCCGCTACCAGTGTGATTATGATGAGTTTTAGCGCAATGGCAAAAAGGGGCCCCTACAGGTCAAGCGGCAGCGAGTGGTGCATATACACACGTGAAACATGCACTATCTCACAGTACTGTCGCCGTGCATGTTTATCCCCGTGTTCTGTATCAGGACCAGCCCTGTGCCGATCGGGCGTTGCGTTGCGTTGCCAAGAAACCCAGGGCACCCTGTAGGCAAGCAGGGTGTTTCTTGGCATGGGTCTCCACTGCACCCGCGACCCACCCACATTGCTGACGAATGCGCAGGGCTCGTTGTGCACGGTGTTCGAAAAATCGGCGCCTGCGGCGGGCTTCTTCAGAGCATCGCACGACTGCCGACGACCCCGCCGCACCCTCACTCCTGTTCGGAACTGCGGGGTGCTACGTCAACTTTCGAAGCTCCGAGCTGATTTTCTTGGACCGCGGCTGGACCGCATTCCCTGGCGCGCGGAACCACCGCCAGGGGAGTCCAGCGCAGATCCAAGAAATCCGCGCGGAGCTTCGACAGTTGATTATGCGCATGCAACTTGGGATATTCGAGCGACGGCGACGACGGAGAATCCGACATCGCGAAAAATCATGGGCGGAGCCCTGGATTTCGCAGCATTTTCTGAGCCGGGCCGATCTGTGATGGTTCCAGGGCCCGAAACCGGGCGAGAACTGGAAGCCTTCCAAGTGGGTCAAGTAGATGGGGTCGGAGGAACGCGCCGATTCGCTGATGCATCGCCGACGTATAGGCCGTGCATCGCCGGTGTATCGGCGACGTCGGCGATGCATCGGCGACGTCGGCGTGGCGAAAATCTGCCTCCGCACCGAGCCGCATCGCAAATGCATCAGCGATGCATCGCTGAAGCCGGGGTCCTTGGTGGTTGCTGGCCGGGGGGGCGAAGAGTGGGGGGCGAAGATACGGGCACCCTGCGCGCCCGTTTCGGGCACCAGGGGGCCCCTTCAGGGCACAGGTGGTGCCCCTTCTCTTCCCCCTCCCCATGTTATCGCCCCCCCAGCACGCAGCGCTCGAGGCCCAGATCTGGGCGAAGGCTTAAATCGGGCCTGTTCCCCTACAGGGGGATCTTGGGCGAACCAAAAAAAACTCACAAATATGCTAAAAAGATCCCTATACGATTTTTAACATTTTTGAATATTCCCCCTGTGGAGGGACAGGCCCGCCTTAAGCGGTGTAAAGAAGTTGCGACGCCAGGATCTAATGAGGGGGAGACGGCGCTGTGGCCAGCGGGCGGAGCGGCCACGCTCTGCGCCGAGGCCACCGCTTCTTCACACGTCCCCTCGCAGCGTCCGTAGCGGCGGGGGGGTGGGGATCGGGCCTACGAGCGCCAGCATGCTTTGAGCTCAGAGGAGGAGGAGGAGGAGGAGGAGGAGGAGCAGCAGCAGCAGCAGCAGCAGTAGACGATGCAGGAGGAGGACGAGGACGAGGAGGAGGAGGAGGACGAAGACGGGGAGGAGGAGGAGGAGGAGGAGGAGGAGGAGGAGGAGGAGGAGGAGGAGGAGGAGGAGCCCTAGCTCCCCCCTGCGGGCCCTCCTCCTTTTCTTCTCTCCTCCTCTCCTGCGTCCCCCCTCTTGGGGGGGTGCGTGGGCTTTGGGCTACCCTCTCTGCGTGGCTCGTGGTCTGGGGGTTCCTCGTCGCCGCCGTCTCCATCCTGCTCTATCTCGCCTTATCCCCGAGTGTAGGCATCGACTCTCTTGCCTGAGGAAGAAGACAAGGAGGAGGAGGAGGAGGAGGAGGAGGAGGAGGAGGAGGAGGAGGAGGAGGAGGGGGGGGAGGGAACATTGAGCTAACGGCGATGCATCGCTAGTAGGGGCCCGACAACCGACCCCGCCCAGGGACGTGCGGATTTTCTGCCGAGGGTCATCGCCGATCCATCGACGATGCATCGCCGATTCCGGCTCGACGTTTCCCCCCCGGAGCCTATCCCGCCCTACCGTTGCCCCTGGCGCTTACGAGCAGCAAAGCATGCCTGTCAGCACCAGGTCATGCCTGTGAGCACCGCGCCTTGCCCGCGGGGGAACTGGCACTCCCCTCCCCCCCCCACATACGTTCGGTACGGCAAGTTCGTGTCGTGCCGACTTCGGCATTGGTTTCTGACACTGCGAGCATCGATCAACCTGAAACAATCGACCGTGTCCGAAACGATCGTTCAACATCGACCGGTTCTGGCTCGCCTGGCGCGGCAAAGCAGATGGGACCACACCACCATGAGGGCCCTTTCTGGCTCGCCCTGGTGTGGCCCACCTGTTTCGCGGCGTCCCGCTCGTGATGGCACAAGATCTGTCAACATCGAATCGGGAAATCGAATCGAATCGGCCCCTGCGTCGGATAGGGCCGCTTTGACACGGCGTCGATATCGGATCGGATCGGCTGCAACAAGATGCACAACAGCGCCATGCATCGAGTCGCATCGGATCCTGACTATTTGAATCGAATCGAATCCTGCCAGCGGGAACTGATCTCGACTCGGATCGATCGGATCGAAATGGACCCTGTAGCGCTTCTCCCTCCTCCTCCTCCTCCTCCTCCTCCTCCTCCTCCTCCTCCTCCTCCTCCTCGCGCGAAGCGGGGCTGCCAATCTGGGCCCGCAGCCCAGCGTTGCATGCGTCCATCGCATTCCCCATGTCCACAGCACCTCCGGGAGGCCAGGAAGAGCACACGGCACACAGGCTTCTGAAGTCCGCGGACGGCCTCTGCGCTGGCGGCTCCGAGCCGGAGCCCAGAGAGATGGGGCCCTGAGAGCGAGTGGTCTCTCCTCCTCCTCCTCCTCCTCCTCCTCCTCCTCCCTCCTCCTCCTCCGTGAATGCCCCCGAGCAACGGTGGCCTCCTCAGTGCGGCCTCCACGCTGCGCAACAATCGGAACCTCGCCTGAAATCAGGACTGGACCCCTGGACCCAGTCTCCGAACCGGATCGACCTGTGGTGGCCCCGGGGCCCGAAAACAGGCCCTCGCTACGGCTGGGGCGGCCTTCTCCTGCGCTCACAGAGCGACAACAGTCCAACCCAGGAGGAGGAGGAGGAGGAGGAGGAGGAGGAGGAGGAGGAGGATGGAGGAGGAGGAGGAGGAGGCGGAGGAGGAGGGGAAGGAGGAGGAGGAGGAGGAGGAGGAGGAGTTTGATATTTCCAGCCCAGCAGTCACCGAGGCCTCCGGAGGCTCGAGAGATCGAGAAGCTCGAGAACCTCGAAGTCATCGAGAGGGTCATCGCGAACCTCGAGAAAGTCGGCAGGGAAAAACCTCGAGATCATCGGTCCTCGGACAGCCAAGGGGCGGAGGGGGGTTCAGGCGCGCCCCGCTGCAGCCGCAGGGTGTGCAGGACGCGGCTGCATCGAAAGCCTCGGGCCTCGAGGGAGCGAGGAGGTCGAGGGTGAAACCGTCCAGCGGGCGGTCCTCAGACCTCGAGGGCGGCCCTCCGACCTCGAGGACAGAAGAGGAGAGGGGGCCGTCCACAGGCGACCGAAGCTCGGGACCCGCGTGCTCTTCTTCCCCTGGCCTCCGTCGCGTGCTGCCAGAGATGTCCCCAGCCCAGTGTCCCCAGGATCTCAGAGGAGACCCCCGCGGCCTCCAGAGCACCAGTCACGAGGCTTCAAAGGCCCCTGGAGAGAAGTCGGGCCTGTCCCTCTACAGGGTGAATATTCTCAAATAGATTTAAAAAAATAGTCTGGGAACGATTCTTTGATCATTTTTGAATGTTAGTGGTCAATTGTTGTGGCATTTCGTCCCAAATCCGCCTGTAGGGGTACACGCCCGATCTAACCCTGGAGGCCTCCCAAATTGGGTTCGATCAGATGTGGCCGGAGGATCGCGCCGCATCGCCAATGCATCGGCGATGCATCGGCGATGTGTCGGCGACGTTGGCGATCGCCGTCGTCGGCGTGAAGAAAATCAGGGTCCACATCGAGCCGCATCGCCAATGCATCGACGATCCTTCGACCCCAGATGGTCGGACCCCATCGGGAAGGCCTGGGTGGCCCTACCGGGGCTCCTAACTGCAGAAAAAAAGCCGGGGACAACGTTCAGAGCAGGGCGAGTTGAGACAACGGCAGCTCAGAATAGATCCCTGAACTCTCCCCGGGTCCAGACGCGCCATGTTTTCGATCTGCGCCCAGCCATGGCGACGAGGACACCCCCCGAAGTCCAACTACCGTCGTCTCACCTGGGCGACGACGAGAAACGGGTCTTACATGAGATGGCATAGCGACCTTACGCGGTGGCTAACGCGGGCCGCCAACGCGGCGCGCCAGATTGGAAACGAGGGCGCCCACGCGAGACCTTCCGCGGGCAGCTTACGCACGAATGTCCACGCGGTCGAACCCGTGTGTTTGCGTCGTCTCACGTGGCCCACCTCGGGAATATGGGCCGGGGAAACCTTTCTGGCAGCCCCCGCCTCCGAGGCTCGCCAGCCGAGCCGCGCCGCCCTTGAGGGGGACGAGCCGCCTTCCTCCCCGCCCGCGCAAGGAGATCGCCGCCCGCCGCGGCCGCGCCCTGCGGAGCCCAAAAAAACTGGCTGAGGCGGGGAAGCGAGCGAGAATGGGACGCATAAGGACACAATAATACTGTGTGCATATGTTGGCGACGCCCGTCCAACCCGCTACAAAATGTCTCGACGTTCACACTCGCTGGCCCAACGTGCCAGAGGCGTACTAAAATCTCAGGTAAGAGTTCAAGAATGTTTCTAATTCGCGCGCGCGTGGCGGCCCATGGGGGTTCCCGGACGAAAAGTACCCTGGAAAGGTCCCGGCAAGGCCCTGGCAAGGTCCTGGCAAAGTCCCGGCAGGGTCGGGCCAGAGATGCAAGAACTCCTAGGCGCGGCCTCGGGGGCCCCCCAAGCGCTCCAATGGGGCGCCAAGAAGGTGGCACGCCCCACGGCCTCAGGCCAAGAGCGTGCCGACACGGCCCACGAAGCGCCCAAGAAGCTCCAAGAGGGTTCCGAGAGGACTTCGAAAAGTCTCCGAAGGATCACAAATCATTGATTTCACTCTGGTTGTCGGACGCTTTGGCGGTATCGCCTTTTCGACCTTCCAGTCGCCCTGGACGGCCCAAGAAGCCACACGATCGCCCCAAAACGGCCCAAAAAGCATCGAATAGGGCCCCCACATGGCCCAAGATGGCCCAAAGACGGCCCTAGATGCCTCCAGGGGGCCCAGGCCCAGAGGGGCGAACAGACATTTCGAGCCCTCGGCCCCAAAAGGCGCCCGGGCCCCTCAAGAGCCCCCCAAGAGGCCCCAAGAAGCCCCCAAGGGGTCCCCACAACAAAAAAAAAAAAAAAAAACCCTAACAGGCCCCCGGGAAATCCCAAGGGGCCCTTAAGAAGCCCCCGAAATGCTCCCCAGGGGCCCCCAAACTATTCCCCTGAGACTCCCTAGAGCCCTCCGAAGAGACCCAAGAAGCATCCACGAAGACTCTGATCCACAACCCAGGTACGTTTCGAAACTCTGCTGGGTTTTTTGGGGGCCATCTGGGCGCCCTCTGCGGCAGTCGATCGGCTCTCTTCGACACGGTGCGGGCCACAACTCCAAAGATCTCCTCGAGGACGGTCCTGCCTGCCCCCCGCGGGTACGAGCACACCACCACGCAACCCCTACGGGGTAAGCGAAACGGCAAAATCCGCCGGCCCATTTGCGGGGCCACCAGGCTGCGAAGATTGCAGCTCCCTGTTCCAGTTGCAGTTTCCAGTTTCCACTGTTACAATCCTGCTATTTTGCTTCCTACTTGTAAAGTGTTGCTGAACGCGCGAGAGGGGGACCCCCAAACCAGTTTTTTACCACGCCCAGATAGCGTTGTCTGAATTATTGGGGGGGCGTGGGACATGTAAAAATACTAAATGCTCGCGTCCCCGAAGTCATAGTCTTCAGTAAATTACGCCGCATCCCCCGTAAATTACTCAATGCTCGCGTCCCCGAGATCATACGCCCGCGTAATTTACACAATGTTCGCGCACCCGAGGCCATAAGCCCACGTAAATTACGAAATACTCGCGCCCCCGAAGCAATGAACCCTTGAAAATTATACAATATGCGCGTCCCGCGCGCGGAATGGTGCGCGCGCAAACCTCCGCCGCCGTGGCCTTGCGTGGCTCGATCAAACTTTCGAAGCCTCGCTCAGCGGTTCAACCGCCCCCCCCTCCGACGCCACCCGCCCCGCGCTCGCCCCCGCAGAGGGCCCGACGCCCCGTTCGGGGCAATGGAGTCGACGCAGTGCTTAGATTCGCACACGCCCCCCCCCCCGTGACCAAGGTCCAGAGCGCTTGCGCCGGCGCCTGCGATGACAGAGCGATGCCCGCGCCTTCGTGTTTGGCACGCTGGAGGCGCCTGCGCTCTACCATGGGCGGCGCCTGTGACGGTAATGCCGATGCCCGCAGCGCCAGAGCTAAAACCGCGATGGCGAAGAGATGCCAGAAATGCCGGCGCCCTATAATTTGACGCGCCGGCGGCGCCTGCGCCTGGCCGCGCGCAACGCCCGCGCGGATAAATCGACAGCCCCCGCAGTACTTGTGCTGACAACTCGATGGCGGGGCGACGCCTGCACCATATCATTAGACGCGCTCGCGGCGCTGGCGCCGAGCCATGTCCAGCGACTGCGGTGATGAAGCGACAGCGCCGCGCGCGATAGCACCGCCATGGCGGGGCCATGATTGCGCGTACCAATTGACGCGCCTGCGATGCCTGCGCCGAATCACGCGCACTGAACCCCAGGCACTGGCGGGAGCGGGCGGTGGTTGGACCGCGCGTCCTCGGCGCAACGTCGCTGGTCTTGCGCGGAGCAGGCAGCAACCACCTGGGCGCGGAAGGAATCGGAACCTGCGCTCGAGAGGTCAACCTTCGGCCATCTCAAAGGCGCGCCCACCTCAGCTGTTAGGTCGTGGAGCCCATACCAGTCGCTCCGATTTTGGGCTGACATTCGGCATCGGAATATGGAAGTCACGATGTAGCGAAAATCGCCACCGACGGCATCGCCGTGGATGCGAAGATGACGGCGACGGCTGTGATGGCGATAGCGACGAGGCAACCCTCGCGGCCGCGATCACGATAAGCTACATTGCACCCCGTCACGCGGACCGGCTCCAAGTATGGTGTCAGTGCTTCGTCTGCAGAGTAGGATGAAAATGTTTGGGTGACGCTGATGCGCAGCCCAGAAAACGAGCTGAGGACGGGGGAAAGGGCGAAATGGCGAAAGGGCGCGACCCATCATTGCGAGGCAACGCTGTGGTGGGATAGTGGACGAGGAATATGGGCTCAGAGGGGCAACGAAGTTTCGACCATCGACGTTTTCGTCGGTTCTCGGCAGCCTCCCGGCCTCGGGATGCCTTCCAGCGGCTGCGCCTCACCGAGAGCGTGCCGAAGGTTCCCAGGTCGTCCCGAACGGCCGCCAGAGGCCCGAGGTAATGACCCAGAAACAGAACACGAAGGAACCAACTCAGGAAAGGAAACATCGAAAGGGAATCGGCGGCAATTTGCCGTTAGATCGGCGACAGGCCGTCGATTGGCAAAACCGCATGGCCCTGGGCGGGGTGGGCTATCAGGCACCTACTGGCGATCGATGGGCGATTGGGAGTTGATGCTCGGCGGCGCGCTGCAGAAGGGGGGGAAGCGAGAAGGACGGCATTCTATGCTCAGAAGGCGCGGAGGGCCTCTGCGTCTTCGTGGAAGTTGGTTTGAACCTTCCCCGAAGACACAGAAAACGTCCCAGAATCGGGGGCGTCCAAAAGGGGGGCGTCCTAGAGGGGGGTGCAAAGCATGGCCGGCGGCATGTGCGCGGCCCCGGGGGGGAAGGGGGCCGGGACCTTTGGAATAAGAAAAGTCGCTACGCAATCTGAGGAGATATCATGGCCCCCGCCATGATATCCACACACACACACCCCTAGTCATCACCCCCCTCTTTCGGGGGCGAGCATACATGGATTAACGATCCATGGATTTGGCGGGCGGTCGCCAAATCCATGGATTGGGGGAGGTGCCCTCCCCAAAATGCGGTGCCGCCTCGTTCGGCGGTGGAAATCCGCGATTTCCCATGGAAACGGGACCCACCACTAATCCACGCCCCCTTGTTTCATGGTTGCGATCGCCTGACTCTTTGGCGCCTCCGACAGAGAGCCAGAGGGCGTCCGAGAAGCCTCGCAGCCTTCTGAGAAGGCCTCCCCCACTCCCTCCACCCCTTGGAGCGCCGCCGAGACGCACCCTCCACCGAGCCTATCCCCTGACTTGCCATCGCTCGGACGCCCATTCCCCGTGAATGTTTCGGCTTCGCGCGTGTTTTCTGCGCAAGATGATCCAGGATGCTCCTCGATGGTCCTCGCCGAGCAAAATGCACACGTCCGAGCGATGCCGAGGTGGTGGGCCGACGGCTCGGAAGCGCGCGCGCGCGAACGCCGACCGACCGAGGGCCCAGAAGCCACGCACGGGAAACCTCCACGCAGGCGTGTGGCTGTTGGCAGAGCGAGTGCTGAATGTGCTATCCGTTTCCAACTGTGCGTTCTCAGCACTGCGCGTTGTACTCTCGGGCTTCAAGTGGCCCTGGAAAGACCGTTCCTTTGCTCTTTCCGTGTCTCCGTTTCTTTGCCGGTTCCAGGGTTCCAGAGACGGTTCCAATTCCGTCGCCGTTGTTGTGCCGGTTCTGCTTATGGTTTTAATCCTGGAGCCGTTGTGTTTCAGCTCCTGGTCGCCATTTCCAGCTCGAAAGAAGCACTCTTTCGGAAAACGGCCCAGCCGTCTCCGCGGCCAAGTAAGCTCTCGGGCCCGTAAGAGGCAAAGCTGCGACCCAACTACAGTGAAGGAGATGAGCTCGAATCGAGCCCAACACACCATGACTCACGCTTGATTCGGAACAGTCATCGGCCAGACCTAAGGAACGATACATAAGGAACGAAGAGCCTGTTTCCAAATCAGGAACGATACATAATACATAATGCATAAGGAACGATGAATAACTCATGCAAACCTAAGGAACGACCGAGCCCCTTCAGAAAAGTGTTCCATATTCAAGCCGCTCACTGTACTGCGACAATGCGAGAATCTGAAGGCATGCCAACGCCATGATATTGGATTCTCAACACATCATAAGCAACTCTGAGGGTGCTCAGAAGGTTTGGGGTATGGGTGCAGCGTTCGATTACCGATGGCTTTACGTCGGATGGCTCGACGACCGATCTAACAAGATGGCTACACACGTAACGATATACCTAGACTGAACAACAAGTCGATGGTCGACTGTCTATACGTATAGCTAATCTCCATGAACCATCTAGCTTGCCACTACCCATGTACTGTCTGATTCCTTTTTCTACGATGCGCTACATCTTACGGAGAGAAATGCCGAACGAAACATCACCCTGGCCAATCCTCCTGACAACCCCCTGGTCGATACCGGCAAGGATAACCCCGACAAAGCCCCACGGCCAACCTTGGCTAGCGTAATTCTACATGGCAGGGAAATTACCCCCCGTCCCTCTCTCTCTCACTCTCTCTCTCTCTCTCTCTCTTTCTCGGGATGTGTGTATATCTGCACATACATACACATACACCAGAGGCTGCCCCAGACGGCCAAGAAGTTCCCAGGACGGCCCAAGAGAGACCCGAGGGAGCCCCCAGAGGGCCCAGGAGGGCCCCAAGACGGCCCCCAAAAGGGCCCACAAAGGAACTCCCTGAAATGCTTGTCAAGAGCCCAAGACAACACCAAGACAGCCCCTAATGAACTCCTCCTCAAGATCATCACCAGTATAATATTCCATGTCGCGATCGTCCACTACGATGCTCCTTCTCCCCATGTCGTTCCTTCCCTGCATCCTCCTTCTTAGCCCCCCCTCCCTCCTGGTAATTCGTTTCCTTTGTCATCCTACTCCATCCCAGGACGGCCTCAGATGATGCAGGATAAACTCAAGATGGCCAAGGTGTGATATGTGACCACATTCTCACCATTACTCAAACCGATGAACTTCCATGTGTCCAGCCTGTTGAGGACCCTCGAACACTTGCCTTCGAGAATACTGGGCTGGCACGGTGTCGGGACCTGACGCAGGCAGCCAGATATAGCATGCGCACTGAACGCGCAGTGGGCCACAAGACGCTAGCATGCTCAAGCACAAGTGCAACAAACGTTTGCGCAACCGTTGGCATCTACACAAGCGCGCTTCCAATTGAACTCGCTGAAGGAACCGAGAACGAGGAAGCCACATAAGATGCACCAAATCAATAGATCCACAAATGCCATACGCCTGGAGGAATCCGACAGACCAGACGATCAGCAGCTGCGCATGGGCATCCTCGTGCAAGCTTGGTTGTCAGTGCACCAGCTGCTCATGATGTGACTTGCCAGAAAGGGATGGCGTTCGCCAGATCCTCTCGGACAGCCGTGCCTTATGCCAAAAGCTGATGAGTGCAATCGGCCGCGCGAGATCGGAGAGTGCCTCCAGATAGTCGTATACATCGACGCTGAAGTTCAGTCAGTCAGTCAGTCAGTCCCCATGGCAGAGCAACTGTGTCGGGCAACGAATTTACCCATACCATCATGGCACGCTCCATCACGACACGCTGCGGACACAAAAAATACTGCAACTCCGCACAGACGAGAGCATACAACATTTTGGCATACGTGGTTTCTAATGGGGGCGTGGCGGTCCTGACGTTCAACACTCGCTCTACCTGTTCAGTGACCTTGTGCAATCCACACCCTATGGCTCAGCATCGCCAATCGGGTAACAAGCAAGTCGCATGCATTACGCAACCAGGCTGGCAGTAAGAGGAAAGGCTAAATGACTCGAATGATCTCCAGCAGCAGGCCAGCTGCACCCATCAACGAATTCACCCATGAATCATAGCCCGATTATCTGAATTAGGGAGCCTTCCTGGAGGAGATGATCGACGAAAACGCGCAAGATCAGACTTGCAGACTACATGCGCAACATTAACTCATTCACACACTGAGCGCTCGCCACGTTTCCAGTTGCAATACACTGCATCGAGCGTTCACCATCAACCTTTCAAGCACTCATTTCCATTCAAAACTATACTCAATGTTTGCTGTCGCCCGCGACGTGCATTACGTGGGATACGCAATTCTGCAAAAAACTCTGGATCCCACGTGCGCTGGTACCCTCGGCATGCCCGCATGTCCGTTCGCATGCCGGCCCTCCCAGGATTATGCCCACTGTTCGGATTCTAACACTGGACGATTCCACATGGATGGCCAATGTGCAGTGTTTAACTGATTTCACCATGAGTCATCTGCGTCGCAACTGGCATGCGGCATGGCCATCGCAGTTCTGACGATGATCTCATGGACAACATCGGCGGCGAGCGAAGGGGGGAAGTGAGAAGGAAATGGTCTTCTCAGAAGGCGGGGATTCTCAGAAGCCCTCTGGCCTTTTCTTTGCTTTTGGGGAAAGCCTAAGATCTGAGGACCCTGTCGGCGTGTGGAATGCGCTGTTCGGTTTGACTCGTCGTCGTCGTCGTGGTCGTGGCCGTGGTCGTGGTCGTCGTCGTCCTCGTCGCCGCCGTTCGTCGTCGTCCTCATCGCCGCCGCCCCTCCTCTTTACCTGCGCCCATCGCCTCTCACCCCTCTTTCATCACGCCCATCTCCTCAGGCAACTCAGTCACAGCGAAACTCAGCAACGTCGTAGTTGAGTGAAGGAAAGCCTCTTGCCTTTGATCCCTTCCCCGCCGGGGCTGGGAGGGGGTCCCACAGGGGGGTCCCAAAGGGGGGGTCCCGGGTCAGAATACCACCCCTCCCCTGGGCGGCCCGGGGCCCAAAACATCCCAAGACGAGACAAGAGTGCCCCAAGCGGCCACCAAGACGGTCCAAGAGGACCCCGAATCGCCGAATGATCGGTTCAAGACGTCTTCAGGGCCTCCAGACGCCCCAAGAGGCCTCGAAGTGCACTTCCAAGAGATCCTAAAGAGGTACAATTCTCTGATTGCCATTGAATGTTTTCAAGGACTTGGGCGTTCTCGCCTTTTCAGCTTCCCGACGCTCCAAGACGGCCCAAGAGGCACCAACGATCGCCCCAACAAGCAACCCAGAGGGTCCCGAAACGGGCCAAAGAGGGCCCGAAGACGGCCCAAGACGCCTGCAAGATGGCCCAAGAGGCCCCCAAGAGGTCTCCAAGAGGGTGCCCATACAGAAAACCAAATGGGCATTTCGAGCCCTCCGCCCCGAGAGGCTCCCAAGAGGCCCCAAGAGGCACCCAAGAGGCCTCCCAGAGGCTCAAAGAGGCCCCCAAGAGGCCCCCAGGAAACCCCAGGAGGCTCCCAAGAGGCTCCCAAGAGGCCTCCAAGATGCTCCAAAGGGGCCCCCAAAACTGCCCCCCAGAGGCCTCCGAGAGCGCTTCGAAGAGACCCCAAACAGAATCCCTGAGGACTCTGACCCACGTCGGCGTCGTCGTCGTCGTCATCGTCGTCGTCGTCTTCGTCATCCCCCTTCAGGCTCGGCGGCATTAGCCGTAAAGCCTTCGCAATAGTTCTCAAAAGGCCAAGGGATGTCCGAGCCTTCTGAGAATACTCGCCCCCATCTCAATTCCCCTCAGGCTCGCCACCGACAACAAAGAAGCAAGGCAAGGACTGCAACAGAGTCTGACTTTTGCGCAACCGCAAGGCACGCGACGCCGTGGCCACTCTTTGGATACGCTGGCATCGGGAACCGGCAGAGCAGCAAACCCTGCGATCACTTCCAAGGGCAACGCCCCTGCGGAGAGCGTGCCTGCCTCTGGCATCGGGAAAACCCACCACGCCTCCAGGCCCACGAAGCCCTCAGCGCAGATTCGAAGACCATTCCCAAGATTTTCGGCGCTGTATTTTAAATCTCGAGCTAAATTTCAGCCAAGACGGCGACAAAATTGGACCGTGGCAAATCGGCGATTTCGAATCTGGCCGTTGCGAAAAATGTATCGAAATCTCTGTCCAGAGCGTTGCGGAGATCCCAGTCCTTGTGGGGGAAAGTTTGGGGGGGAGCTCTGGTGGGGGAACATCGACTTGGAAGCTACGTTACATACCCGATACGGTACATCGGCGGTAGGCTCTCGATGGCTGGAACCGGATTTTCCCGAGCGGGGTGGGGCTATGGGGCCCCAGCTGTACAAGCGATGAACGGACGATGGGAGGTCGGTGCGTCCTCTCCTGAGCATTCCCCTCCCGGACGCTGCCCCAAAAAGTGTCTCTTGCCCAAAGCGTTCCCTCCTGACGCGTCCCAGCCCGACGTTCCCACCTGACATTCCCCCCCTGACGTGTCCCAGCCTGGCTCCGTTTATCCTTGAGCCGGTGGTGCCGGACAACACGCCCATCTGTCTCTGACCCTACTGGCTGTCCTACTTAAGCTGGGAATCGTAGTCCTAGCGCCAACTCGTGTCAGACTAAACATGTCGGAGGAATATGTATGATATCCCCCGTATACGTTCACGCTCGCAAGAAATCATAAAAGAGCAACGGAAAGAGGGCAGCCGGCGGCCGGGCAGGCCGGGTCAGGCCTCAAGCCGAAGTAATGCACGCTCGGTGTCCTCGGACTTATTGTGATCCACCTTCATAGCCGTGAACTGCTTGCCGCAGATGCTGCTAATGTGCCGCGTGCCTGTGCTGACCAGTCGCATGATATGAGGGAAGATGCCCGTCTTGGTAAGAACAGCACATATCACGCTGTGAGTCGGGCAGTGGATGAAGTATATGATACGGCCAGTCATTGCTTCCTCACGGACCGAAAATATGGATGACCGACTGTTCTTGTCACTGGGCACTCCCTTCACACCACATCACAACTGCCAGATATCGAAGCAATCGGCGCAGTGGCCCGCGATGATCTCCATCTCGCCTGAGCCGGAGTACTCTGGAACATCTCGATGTTTGCGTTGACACTGGGTGCTCCTCAAGAGCTCCGTATATCTCATACTGATGAATAGCGCGCACTGGTTCACATTGTATCCTGCGTTGGTCTCCGCATGGCACGTACTGTGGTTGATCCTTTTGGCCTTGCAACGCTGGATGACCATATTGTGGCATGGCCCTCCGAAGTAATGTTCGTCCTGGATAGCTGCGTTGTCCTTCTTATCGTACCTGAACCGCTCCTCTTGTCCTCTAGCAATAATACGGCACTGCCTTCTTGAGGATACGAGGCGATTGAGTTCCCATGGCTCGCGCCCACCGCAGGTGCCATTTGAAAGGGAGGCCCCAGCTCGGGAAAGCGAAGTCCTGCAAGCTGGTGAATGCGATGTGCTCTTCCGATGATGGTACTCAGCTGGATCAGGCGCTCCACTTCGGCGTCTCCTACGCACTGCTGACGCTGGACCGCGTCGCAGTAGACGTCTTCTCGCGTTTGATAGAAACACAACAATGAGCAAATGCCGCCTCGTATCCGATGAGTCTCTGTGACTGCCTCTCCTATGTCATGGCTACGTTGTTCAGGCCGTCGACCTTCTTGATGAATCGGATGAAATCTCGTTTCTGCGAGACCACCTGTGGTTCCCATGTGATGGAACAGGGGGGGGGGGATATTTGTCTATCTTGCCGAAACGTTTTTCGGTCTTCTGCTGTGCCCACTGCCCCTGCCCTTCAGCGCTAGAACAATGATGTCGTCCACGTGCACCGCCCAGGTCACCCTGATCTTGCCGTCATCCACCCACATGAAGAAGTTTCCGCCGAACGCGCCCTGCATTCCCTCGAGGTCGTTCCCGATGAGCATGCTGGGCGCCAACTGCCATAGTAGCGGGGCGTCCACTGTGCCATCGGTTGGTTGCAGCAGGAGTTAATAAAAGAAATGGGACTCGATGTCGCTGGCAGGTATCTTGGCCTTGTCACAGTTCCGAAAGTGGCACCAGACGTTCGATGGTGGTGCCATGTGGACATTTCCTTATTAACGGATCTCAATGCCGAGCTGAGCTGCATAGCGCTTGCGGTCTTGGTAGTTCAAGCCCTGCAGGAACGCCGTAGAGATGTCCCTGGATTCCATATCAATGTCTTTCTCGGTGCTGAAAAGTGGGGCCATTATTCTCTGCGGCAGTCGCGATGCCGCACTGCTAAAGCGCATAACATCAAGCTTCCGAGAGTCTTGACTTGCTCACGTAGCACAGCTGGCTGTTCTTATCGCACATATTCCTCCATCTCCGCACCCATAGTGCACCTATGATATTGGAACTGTCGAGACTGTTATCATGTACCGCGCGGGAGCATCGGTTATCTATGAACGATCGAGCCTCTTGTTGATCTGCCTTGTCAACGAGACTCCAGTGTTGGTAAATCTCGGCCCCCGTCAAAATATCATCGTTCTGGGCGCAGACCGCCTCGCCCGTGACCGCGTCGAAATAGATGCACCTGTTCTCCTAAAACGAGCCAGGTATCACCCAATGCGCCGAGGTAGCTTCCCATGGTAGAACTCGTTTGTCCATCTTGTGAAGACTGATCGAAACGTTGCTCGCCATACTTATCATCAGGTTATGGTACTCGTCTATCTCGTCGTCCTCCAGGTCCGGGGCGCAAAGGTAGTGCGACTCGAAATCGCCCAAGGTGACCTGCTGGTTGGGGAAGGCATGATAGTCTTCCAGAAGCTTGGGACGCGTGGTGTCCGTGAGCAAGGAAAGAGATACCATAGCATCCTTGATAATAGGAGGGTGATATCCTCGTTTGTGGCTGACCTTGTCGGCGATGTCTGCAGGGTCGTCCGATCCAGAAGCCCTCGTAGGCAACTTTGGAGAACCGTGTCGGTCTGCCAGAACCTCTGGAGTGTTCGGGTCGTCAGTCTTCCTGATCTTGGTTGCCGGTGAGCTCGTTCCTGATGGCATGTGCTTGACTTTCGCTACTCCTGATTATATCTGATCGCGTGGTTCTGAGTCTCTCCCAGGTTGGTCTACTGCCGTCGCTGGCGATGACTCTCCGTCAGGATAGATAGTTGCTCCTCGGGATATTGCACCGTCGGTGCTGGTGAGGCTCGTGGAGTGTTGATAATAGATGATGTAGGTGCTGCGCGTAGTGCCGGTGGTGTGATCGGTGTTGTCTGCGACGCTGGTCTGCCTGAAGGTAGTTGTTGGCTCAGGTAGCTCAGCGATTGGTAGAAGTGGAGATGTCGGTGGCTGTGGTGATTGTGCTGGTGTCTGTGGATTGCCTGACTTGATCGTCGGTGCCTGTGGAATCGTAGGTTGTGTCGAGATTGGCACCGCTGGAATGGGTGCAATTGCTGAGCGCCGTTGTCTGTTGGTGCCGACTCGGCTCTGGTAGGTCGTCTCGGCGCCCTCGGTTCTCGCATCCCTGGTTCGCATCTTGAGGTTGCCCAATGTCGCGTTGTCTTTATCGCAGCTGATGTCATGTGGTTGAGGAGGTTGTGCCGGAGCTGTGGGAGCAATGATATCCTCGTCGTCCTGCCTGCCGTTGCTCATGCTCTCGTCGTCGACGTCAGCATTAAAAAATGCCGTTGTCGTGATCGAAAACCACTGGTCTTACCGACCGCGATGCTGACGAACTCCGTGATATGATAGGTCGCGCGGGCGTGTCTATCGGGATCGCCTCGATAGCCGGCACGCGTGGAAGTCCTGGTGGCGGTGGTCCTCCACCTTGATCAGGCCCTGCCTCGATCGATGCGATGCCGTCCAAAATGGTGGTATCCAAGAGCTCCTGTCTGATCTGGTTTCCAGGCGCTGCCTGTGCTGGAGGTGGAGCAGGAGGTCTCGGTGGTGCCGCTGGTAGATGTGAAAGCTCACCCAGCGGTGGTCGCCCCGCCGGTGCTCGAGCCGCTGGCAATTGAGGAGGCCCAGGTGCCTCGAGAGGGGGCTGTCGAGGATCATCATGTGAAAATCCGTCGCCATCTGGCGGTAATCTTGGTCCTTCGTCGTCGTCAGGGCAGAAGTCGATGCCGGACTGGTCGCCGAAGTCGGGTATCCTGTTTTTCCTGATGTCCTCGCGTTCGTCGAACCGCTCGAGCGAATCAAAGAGTGCCGCGGTCAAGTCGGCGTCGTCGGTCTTGGGTCTTGGACGTGTGTTTCGTGATGTCCAGGATCTGCCTGATAAAGCCCAGGTCTCTGATGGCGCGCCCCTTCCGATTGCCCAATGACCGCGCGACCTGTCGCCCGTGTCGAGCGCCCGGCACGGGGCAGAGCATCTCGATGCATCTGCCGCAGCATATCCCATCGATAGAAACCCCATTTCTTTTCACAGAACTGCTTCGCCAAGGTCCGTACTCGGGGCGGTGGGCTAGTCAGGCTGGGAGGGGCGGAGCGCGCGACGCCGCCCTGGCCAGCGATCGCCCCGCAAAGGTAGACCTTCAAAGGAGTCCGGCCCTCAAACATGTCGAAGAAGTCGCGGTGATCCTCGAGCGCGCCCCGATGCTCGGCGACCATGGCCGCGATGGCTTGGTGGAGCCAGATGCGCCTCAGAGGATCCACGTAAGGGTGCCCGCTCAACATCGCGATAGCGCCCGAAGGTTCGAGGCGGAGGAGGTCGCGCGCACCTCGCCAGCCCTCCTGACCCATGTGGTCGGGCGCCCTGTAGAGGTCCACATTGTCACCGACGTTGATCTTTGCGGAGTCCAGCTGCATCGGTCTCGGTCGGCTCACCTCCGCGATGGCGCGGAGAACATTCTGTTTTGACTTGATACGCATCCTTACGTGGGATTCGAGGGTGTCAGGCGCCGCCCCCGAGCTCCGCCGCACGCCGTCGAGCTCTCGCTGCCCACGTCGAAGAAGTCTCTCGAAGCGCATCCCAAGAAGGCGCTGCATAGGGTAGACCCTCCACAGGTCAGAAGATGATTATGAGCCTGCACCGCCTAGTAGATCAGGACCTCGTCGGAGATTGGCACGCCTTCCTTGGCGGGGCGTCGACCTCGTTCTTCAGGGCGATGCCCTTCGCCGTCCTGATGTGGCCCTCGATGAGACCCGTCGTGGCGCGCTGACCTGCGCGGGGATCTGCGCCGGCGAAATCCCACCTGACACCGTAGCGGCCCATGGCGTTGCCCACCAGGTCGCCAGCCAGAGCACCTTTTTCATCGGAGACGAGGAAGGAAGGGGCGCCGAAGATGCGCGCCCATGATCTGTGCAGGGCGCGAAGCATGTTTGTGGGTCACCATGCAATTGCACCCCGGGGGGGTCGAGGGTCTCCCCGCGGGGGGGCCGCTGACGTCGAAAGGGGGGGGTACTGACGTCGACATGCTGCGGGGGGGGGGGGGCCCGCTGACATCGATATGCTGCGGGGGGTGGGGCAGAAAAACAACTTTTCCGAACCCCCCGGCGGCGAAGAAAAATAGAGCCCTCTTCGCTGGAATGTGCGATTTTTCGGGGGGCAGAATTTGGATTGCCATGCTCGAGTCCGTCTATCATGTCGGGCGTCGCCGACCCACCGGCGGTGCCAGGGCGAGGAGAAGGAGAAGGCGGACGAAGGAGGTGGAGGAGGAGGACGGGGGGGGGGGAGGAGGAGGTGGACAGAGAGATGGGGAGGTACCACGAGGAGGAGGAGGAGGAGGAGGAGGAGGAGGAGGAGCAGCAGCAGGAGCAGGAGCAGGAGCAGGAGAAGGAGGAGGGAGGATGGACTGGGGGTGGCCTTGCTCGGCCTTGCGGCAGGGACGCATCACGGTCCTCCTCCTCCTCCTCCTCCTCCTCCTACTCCTCCTCCTCCTTCTCCTTCTCCTCCTGATCTTCCTCCTTCTCCCAATCCTTCTCCTACTCCCCCTTCTCCTCATTCATCTTCCCCCCCTCCCCTGCCCCCC